ATATATATATATATATATATATATATATATATATATATATGGTTGGGTTCATGTGAGACCAGCCTGTTTTCATGAGACCCATGAGACCACATTTTTATACTTGAAACTTCACAACAGAAACACTGTGAAGGTTACTTTCACATCATTTTGCTGTGAAGTTTCATGTGTAAAAATTGGTCTCACGGGTCTCACGAAAACAGGTTGGTATCACGTGATCCCAAGTCTATATATATATATATATATATATATATATGATTGAGTTGTTGGTTATGATATGATGTTGCATAAAGGGCATAATAAAAAATAAGGTGGTGTTGAACGGAATTCGTAAGAATTGGAATATGAAGGAATTAAAATGAAATTTAATCAAATTTAATCATATGTTTTGATTGGCAGAAATTGAAATAGAATATGTCAAAAGAGTTTGAATATGAGTGTTTGGTTCGTTGAATATAAGATTGATGGTGGGATGTAGTAGTGATATTGATGGTGGTGGTGGTCGTAGTGGTGGTGGTATCGATGTGGTGGTGACGGCAACGATGGTGGTGAGGGTGAAGGCGACAGTGGTAATGACGGTGATGGTGTCGTTGGCAGTGACGGCGCAGGTGATGGTGGTGGTGGAGGCAGCAATGATGACATCCATATTGGTGGGATGGAATGGAATGGAGTAAAGATAAGAGTATAAGGGGGCGTTTTGTCCGTAGAATGGAATTCGTTTCCAATACCGATAGTAGCTCCCGTTGAAGCATATTCCTACCTATATTTTTATTGTCTCAATTTGTCCACGGCTGTTGCTGAGAACTCGTGATTGGTGTGGAGGGGAAGGTCTATCGATAGCTACTAAAGTGAAAATTGCTCGGTAGTAAATGAAAGATGGTTATTAGTAAGAATTAATCGGCTAACGCAATTGTTAGCCTTGGTTGTGACAAAGACAATAGTGGCATGGTGGTGGGGGAGGTGGGGTGATATCTGTGAGGGTGACAGTAGTGGCATAGTGGTCGGTCAGGTAAGTAGGGGTGGTAGTTATGAGAATGACAATACTGTCGGTGGTCTGGTGGCGGGGTAGTGTGGGTGGGTGACGAGGTGGGGGTAACAGATGTGACGACAACCGTAATGGCACTATGGTCAGTTTTGTGGGTTGGGGGTTAGGGTGGGGGAGTGGCAGTTGTGATGACAACAATAGTAGTGCGATGGCGGACGATCAGGGGAGAGAGTTAGGGGTGACAATAGTTACATGGTCATAGCAAGGTAAGGATGGTCGGTGTTGGTTAAATTAGATGTAAAAGGATGCAATTCAATTCTTTCAATTATGTCAAGAAATGATAAATTTATTGATTGTTGGAATTCAATGAAATTTGAAAAATTCCATCGATTTCAAAAAATAAACCAAACAAATGAATTGGAATTTGGTCAAAGAAATTTATCATTCCAATTCTATTAAATTTCTTCAAATTTTACAAATCAAAAGACCCTTACTAGTTTATTTTATTAGAAATAAGCCAATCAAAACTAATTTAAAAGTTTATTTTAAAATAAAAGGCTAAATGTTTTAAAAATCGTATTAAATATATTGAAGTTTGTACGATGTCTTGATTATTTTATTTAAAATAAATATACTTTTTCTAATCAATTTTGATATAAAAAAATAATGGTACTTTTTCTGTTCAATTTTAATATAATAAATAATGGTACTTTTTCTATTCAATTTTAATATAATAAATAATTATCTATCAAACTTTAAATAAGAGGATGGAAAAAGAATACAAAATAATGCAATGAATTACTCATTTTTCATTTTGGTTTGCATTCACATTGCATAAACACATATCAAACTCTTTACATGGTCTTCTGAAGCAATTATTTTACTCTTGTTTCACATGTGAATTTTGTAGAAGTTTAGAATGAAAAGCTATTTAATTTCTATCAAAATCAAAAACGAATATTTAATTTTAGAAATTAT